CTGTGCGGCGCGGCCGCCATGTTTCAAAGGTGTTGCGCGCTGGGGTGCCGCCGGCCTGACGCGGAGCCTCGTCCGCCCGAGCAGTGTCACACCTGACAATTTGACCGGTGGGCGGTCTGCGTATTGACGCCTTCGTAAAAAAAATACGTGGTGACAAAATGCAACAAAAAGCAGTAGCAAATACCGGCAGCCGCGGTTTGGGGCTCACGCGCTCGGAACGCGTTTGTCACCAACCGTGTCGGCCCCCTCTTCTACAACGCGCCCTCCTTCCTGGCGTCCCAGGCGGCAGGCTGCAGGCCGAAGCCGGGAGGTGAGCCACGCCGACTGCTGCCGTGCGCTGCCCGAAACGCTGAACTGCAACGCCAGCTGCGGTACCCCAAGGGGCTGCGGCCGCTGCAACCCCAAGACGGGTATTCTCATTTAGCGGCTCCCCTGGGACATTTGGCCATGGCTTCTCCCCTCCTTCCTCCGCAAGAAGCGGGAACATACAACTTCCTTCGTACTGCTCAGACCCCAGAAAACATGCAGGCACCCACAAACCGTAACGTTCTTTCCCTCTCCCCAGGGAGAATGTTCATCCCTACATGCATCTATGGCTTAATCTTCTTGCGCCCCTTAAAAAGCCCCAGAGATGCTGAATTTATAGAGGAGTTTTTGTACCGAGTGGAACAATAAACCACGATCTCCCTTAAGGTCATCAAAGGATAACAAGAAGTCAGTAGCAAGCCATAAGACACATCAGTATTGTCAGATAAGTGCAATATGTATTCTGTCCAGGAGATGGAAGTATGCACTTCTGAAAGATTTGTATTACAACAAAAGTGATAATCACAGTCAAATTATGATCTAATGTTCTAGAAGCAGAATATGCAAAAATCGTTTTCCTAGCACAGTTGCAAGAAAACAAAGCTGTGCTAAGATAAAAGTTACGTATGTGCAAAGGGGAGGTTTGCATCGGCACTGCACTCTGTGTTGAAATGGGGCACAAGCCTTACGAGGAGCAGCTGAGGGAACTGGGGTTGTTCAGCCTGGAGAAGAGGAGGCTGAGGGGAGACCTGATCGCCCTCTACAACTCCCTGAAGGGAGGCTGTAGCAAGGTGGGTGTTGGTCTCTTCTCCCAAGTAACAAGCAATAGGACAAGAGGAAACAGCCTCAATTTGCACCAGGGGAGGTTGAGATTGGATATTAGGAAAAGTTTCTTCACTGAAAGGGCTGTCAAGCACTGGAATGGGCTGCCCAGGGAAGTGGTGGAGTCCCCATCCCTGGAGGTATTTAAAAGACAGGCAGACGAGGTGCTTAGGGACATGGTTTAGTGGTGGGATGGCTGGGTTAGGTTAATGGTTGAACTTGATGATCTCAAAGGTCTTTTCCAACCTAAACGATTCTGTGATTCTATTCTACAATTCTATCAAATGTTGGACTAGCATAGTAGGTGTATGTGTTTGTGTGTAATAATTAATGGAAGCATGTGATCCTGTTTGAAAGTCCACTGCACTGCACAGTGCGCTAATGCGAGCTCAGCTCTGCACGCAGTTGGCACTGCTCCACCTGCTCCACCTTTCTGTCCAGATTCCTACAAGGAGTAGCTGGTTTCTTAACTGCTGTATTTTCTCTTGGGTTTACGATGTCCTTTTAGCACCCTGCAGTTTAAATGCCAGCATACAGCCACAGGGCATGACACGTTTAGACCAAGGATGGCAGTCCTGTGCTAAGGGGGTACTTCTAGAGCCCATGAGGGTGGGTGAGCAAGGGGGTCACAAGCAGAGTAGTAGAAAAGGAGGAGCTGCCAGCTGCAGTGCCAGAGCCTGCCTGGGCTCTGGGGGGCTGAGGAGGTGTCGGTGCAAAGGCTGGCCCGGTGTTGCACTGAGCAGCCAGCCCCAGCCGAGGAACTGAGTCCTCTCAAGATTTGATTATATTATAAATGGCGTAACATGCTGTCTATAAACTTGGATTTGGGGAGAGGAAGAGTAACAACAGGCTGCTGTCACATGACATTCAAGAATTTGGATTGTCACCAGCCAGCTGTTCTGGGCAATCCGTTCGAACTCACCATCTTGCTGCATATATTTAAAAAACCCTTGGTTATAGCTACTACCCTCTGTGCTCTCCATTCAATTCCTTAACTCCCTCTGACTGTCCCCCCTTTCCAGGGTGGCAGCTGTCCTCTCTTTTTTTTTTTTTCCCCTCTAGGTGAGGATGCAGTGGTTCACTCTGCCTCAGCCATCCTCATCCTGCTCCTTTTTGCTTTCCTATTTCTCTCCTTGTCTTGTAAAGGTAACCTTTACCTTCACCCTGTGCTCACCCTGGCAACCACGACCCATCTTTTCTTCAAAATGCCAGACTCCAGTGATAGCTTAAGTGCCATGTTTTAGACTGTGGAGACCGAAGAACTGAGCAATGAGTAACTCAGACAGGCACAGAACGGCGAGGCAGCCAGGTACGCAGGCGAAATTGTCAGGTATTACAAACTCCCAAGGGAGGTCCATGACATTGCTAAGCTCTGAACGATCGGTTCGGAATGTCAGTTCTGAACAATCCTTGCAAAACTTTATTTCCCTCTGACATCTGTTTCTAGAAACACAAAGCACAGGCACATGCTATGATTAAATTTCCAGTGTCACAAGACAGAATTATTTCATTTTCCTTCCAAAAGAGACAGGATTTCTCAGTCTCGTGGAACATCGAGCTGGAAGCCTTCTTGCTGCACATTCCACCCTACTCTTCGTAAACGATTATCTTATTAGTTTCCCAGTCACACAGTCCAAAAAAAGGGTTCTGCATTACAAAGTTGGGAGGCCAGGGCTATTTTACTGATTTTCTTGCCCTACATCCACAGAAGTCCTGCTCACCAGCCCAGAGGGGACAGACGTGTACTTCCAGGCGCCTCCAGGCAATGGTTCAGAACAGCCAACCACGCACTGCTGCTCAGGAGCACAAGAGATGTCTGCGCCGAGTTTCAAGCACCTGGAGACCATTCTGGGGTCTCAGAAGGAGGACAAGCTATGGCATTTTGACACCGATTTGAAAAGAAGGAAGACCTCAATGTCATGGTTTTGGTGCCTTATACAGATTCTGCACTAGACTCTCAAAGGATGTGGTTGTCATGTGGTTACATTAGAGCCACTTTAAACTCTTTCCAAATACCTGCGTGCAGCCACTATGACTTCTGGCAACAGAAATAGTAATGTGATGCAAATAAACGCTGGCTAAGCGATTTCCAAATTGTAATGCAGAAGTGTTTCTAAGATCTCTACAAATATACAGAACAAAAATAAGGGATATGTATTCCCACGTGTGCTGAGCATTTCAGAATGTCCTGGATGTCCACGAAGGAAGCTGCTCTTAAAGCAATTCTTAATATGTTTTCATCTTGTGGGCATAAGCAACGGGTGTAGACTCTATTTGTAGTATTTATAGAAGTCTAGTGCTCCAAGGCTTGAATTCTACATGTGATTTGGGATCTGAAAGGAAAGATACATTTTTTTAAAGTTGCTGCAGAAAGGCTTGTATGCTTTTAAAAAAAAATATTTTTGTTAGACTTGAAAAACTACCGTGACAGGCTGGTAACAAATCCTGGTTGAAAGGTCAACAAATATTTATAGCTTACAAAGAACATATGAAGAATTAACAAACCTGTTCCATCAACCAGTTTCTCCTGGCAATGAGCAGTGCATAAGAAGACTGTATGCACACATGAGGGAGTTCACAGCCCCGATCCATTGCTGGAGCCATAGCTCACGCTGATCACAGTGCATCGCTGCTGCTTCCCACGCTTCAGCCTTCCGCTACACCCATTGACTTTGTGGAAATCTGACTCCATACGCTTTATTGGATTACTCATTACTCACACGTAATTATTAATGAGAGGAGGACTGGGTCTGGAAAGTAGTTGGAACCTGCTGAGTGAGAGCAAGTAGTTGGAGTGAAAACTATTTCACCTCCTGAACATAATTGACTGTCTCTCTAGCCACAAAATGAAAGCTGTATTCTCTCTCCATGATGTTAATCTCCCTCTACAAGTTTCTCACATTCGCTCTATTTGTGTGGCATGCTTTGCATATATCACCTTTTTCTTATTATCCTTTTGCCGAACTACTGACTTGCAGGTGCTCTTCCTCTTTTTTTTTTTTTTTTTTTTTTTTTTTTTGGGGTGGGGTGGAATTACTGTTTTGTCCTGTAGAGACTTCATGATGAATGGTGAAAGCAAGAAACATGGGTATTTTGCAAAGCACTCTCAAACCACATATACACTGTACTCATGGGCACAATTCACGGTAGATGCACAACTACAGAAAAAAGGCAAATACTGCTTTGCAAAGCTGGGTTCATATTCTTCCTACTGCTTGACAGGACCCTCCAGGTGCAGGGCTCTTCCTTTTTTTTTTTTTTTTTTTTTTTTTTTGGGGAGGGTAGGGCTGCTCAAGGGGCAGTATCTACAACAAGGACTTACTCTGTGTTTTTTCTGGAGGCAGACGGGAAAAGATCAAGGTAGTTCTTAGGGCTTTTTTAACTTCACAGCCAAAATATATGCCACACACAATGTTTTGTCAAGATAGGCTTTGCCAAAGGAATGCGCGGCTGTTGTTCTTTGTGGCTGCTAAATAGTTTTAAAGTTTCCTAATCTTGTGATAAAAAAGTATTTTTGCTTTTTGCTGTCACATGGAGTGTGGGATTCTAAAATTAGCTACGTGACAACATTTGTTCTGAAATGCCTTATTATGCATTTTAATATCATAACTGGTGACTAGATGGAATACTGATGGTCTAGTTAAAATAGAGCTTTTAAGAAGTAGTTACCGTTTTTTCTCTTCAAACAATAGGCGGTCTTTTATTAAATTTGGAAGAGGTCCCCAGCTCATGCCTCATCTCCTTCCTCACTTTCCTCCCCATGCTGATAGGAACTTGTGCCGAATGGATTGATTATATCACCTCTTCCTCATTTCCAGCCTGAATTTACTCCTGGCCAGTTGATAGCTATTGATTCTTGTGACAAGTTTGTCATTCAGCTCTTCTGTTACTGTTTTATGGTTCCTGTAACTTGCTAGAGGCTGTGGAGATTAGGTGATCATGGATCTTGCTTGGTCTATGTCCTGGTTTTGGCTGGGACAGAGTTAGTTAATTTTCTTCCTAGTAGCTGGTACAGGGCTGTGTTTTGGATTTAGTACTGGAAGAATGTTGATAACACACCGATGTTTTAGTTGTTGCTGGGCAGTGCTTAGACTGGCCAAGGACTTCTCAGCTCTCAGCTCTGCCAGGGGCACAAGAAGCTGGGAGGGGGCACAGCCGGGACACCTGACCCCAACTGACCGCAGGGATATCCCACACCATACGATGTCATGCTCAGCATATAAGCTGGGGGAAGAAGAAGGAAGGGGGGGACGTTTGGAGTGATGGTGTTTTTGTCTTCCCAAATCACTGTTATGCATGATGGAGCCCTGCTTTCCTGGAGGTGGCCGAGCACCCGCCTGCCCATGGGATTGATTTCCTTGCTTTGCTTTGCTTGTGTGCGTGGCTTTTGCTTTCCCTATTAAACTGCCTTTATCTCAGCCCACGAGCTTTCTCACTTTTATTCTTCCGAATCACTCCCCCATCCCATTGTGGGGGAGTGAGCGAGCGGCTGCGTGGTGCCGAGTTGCCAGCCGGGGTTAAACCACAACAGTCTACCAGTCCTAAGAAGCCATCCTGGATCTCCCTTTGGTATGGAAGAGACGCGCTTACAGCTCTTTTTAAAACAGATGAATGCTTGTGCTTACAAGGCAAATCAGCAGCCCTACAGTGACTGCCAGCCACCCACGAGGAATCTTAGAGAGCCAGGCCAAAGGGGTCAGGTTTTTGGGAAACACAGTCGGGTGAGTCAGCTGTAGCACAGCAGAGTCCCCGGAGCCGATCCCTCCTTTACCATCCACACTTCTTTTAGCTGCACGAAGTGGCACATACCTCTCGGGTCCCTGACCCCAGCTCCCCCACTCCCTAGACGCCACAAGGACGTTCACACACTCCTTGAGCTCCTGTTTTAATACACATGGGATTTGCCCTTCCATCGCGAGCCTTTTCTACCATGTCCCTTGCTCTGCGTGTTGCAAACACCTTTCTAACGTCCAGGCGAGGTGTCGTAGTGCTCAGCAAATACCGGCTTGTTCGCTGACACCTTTGTCCGCTACCTCCTCGGTTTTCTTCACCCGTACCCGGTCGAAGCAGCCGCACCAAGCGCATCGGCCGCATTTCACCCGTCCCCAGCAAGCAGCTCCCCCG